CCCCAGTTGCCTAAAAATAAAAAAAAAATCTTCTGTAGTTTAGGCTGCTAATGTAAGTATCACCTGTAATATTCCATATGGACATGTATTCCAAATTCCAAATAAATGAGCAGGGAGACTGCCAGACTCAAGGTGAGTGATAATTGTCATAAAACCTCTTTACAACTGGTCAGCACCAGTTTTCTTATTATTAATAACATACTTCTGTAGCACTCTAAAGCTTTCAAAGAGCTTTCCTCACAAAAGTCTTGGGAAGTAGGTAGTGGCAGTATTATTACCTCCATTTTATAGAAGTGAAAAAAAAAAAACCCTGGCTCAGTGAGGTGAAATGATTTGTCAAAGGTCAGGAAGAAACTAAGTGTCACAGCCAAAACTCAAGCTCAGATCTGACTTCAAATCTAGTGCTCTTTTCATTGAGTAACACACTACACTTCCATTTAAAGTCTTTTCCCAACTACAGTAAAATCTATCCAGAGAGAAGCAAGGATACCCACTCTCCCCACTATTATTTGATACAGTTTTGGAAATGCTAGCAATAACAATAAGACAAGAGAAAGGAATTAAAGAAATAAAGACAGGTAAAGAAAAGATAAAACTATCCTTATTTGCTAATGATATGATGGAAAACACTAGGGAATCACCAAAGATATTGTGACAATTAATTGCTTCAGCAAAGTTGTAGCCTACAAAAATCATTAAAAAATCACCAGTGTTTCTAAATAATAACAAAAAACAAGAAGCAATAATAGAAAGGGAAATCTCATCACACATAACTACAAAATGCATGATATATCTGTGGATTGACCTCTCAAAGCACACAAAAAACTTATATAGCTTCAATTATATAGCGCTCCTTAAAGACATAAAGAACTTAAACAGCTGTAGGAATAATCTGTGCTCACTGCTAGATCATGCCAAAATAATAAAAATGGCAACACTACCAAAAATAACCTACATTTTTATTGCTCTATTAATCAAATTACCATGGGGATACTTTACAGAACTTAATAAAATAATAACAAAACTCATTTGGAAAACCAAAAGATCTAGAAAATCAAAGGAAATGATAAAAAGGAGGAACGGGAAACAGTACATCCAGATGTCAAATTATATTCTAAAGCAGCAGTCATCAAAATCATCTGGTATTGGTTAAAGAACAGAGAGATAGATCAATGGAACAGATTAGACAAGGGAGATTCAGAAACAATATAACCAGTCCAAGTCACACATGAAAAAAACACACACTATAACATATCAAACAAATGGCCATTCAGCCTCTGCTTGAAAACATCTTACAATGGGGAAATTCATCATTTCAACTCATGACACTTTGGGTCAGTTCTAACTGTGGGAATTTTTTCCTTAAACCATGCCTAAATCTATCTCTCTGCATCTTCCATCAATTTCTTCCTTCAGGGGCAGAACACAATTAGTCTAACTCCTCTTCTACATGGCAGACCTTCAAATACTTGGAGACAGCTATCATGTCCTTTCAATCTCTCCTCCCCCCCAAAAAATATACCAGTCCCTTCAATCAATTTTCAAATGACAGGGATTTAAGGTCCTTCACCACTCCAGCTTATGAACATCTTTCTTAAACTATGGTGCCCAGAACTGAACACAATACTCTGAATGTGGGCTGACTTGGGCACAGTACGTAACTATCACAGATTTTTTTTCTAGAAGTTATGCCGCTCTTAAAGCAGGCCAAGAAGATCACGTAATCTTTTTTTGACTGCCCCATCATACTGCTAAATTATATTAAGCATGGAGTTCATTGAAACCCCTAGATTTTTTTCAGACATAATCTGTATATCTCTCCTCTCCATGAGGGATGTTAGACTACAGACATAGAATGAGGAATATTCTATCAAATGTGGTCAATACATCAATCTGTTTTTTGCTTTACTCAGTTACTTTTTTACAGGAAGGGTTCTATTAAGGATAAGCATATTGTTTTCTAAAAGCACCAATAAATTTTTTTTTTAATCAGAGAAGCAGAAAAAAAACCCCAATAGCGATGAGAATCCAGGTGGGCTACTGCATCAATACTGAAGGTTAACAGAAGCTACTACAGCAGGGATAGCAGAGATTAAAAGTAAACAAATTGATATCTAAGAAGAGTGCCTGAGAGAGAAGAGAAAAGAGCTCTCTGCAGGTTAGAAGGCAAATAACCACTTCTTATCCTCAGTAAATCCTCCAGCTATCTGTGCTAAAGAGCTAAATCTCTAAGTTATCCCAAAGGCTTCCTTACCCAGAAAGTATCATTCTTCAGAAATCATAATAATTTTCTACTGTAGCTAAAATAAGATTACCATTAATTTTCAATTTCAGTTATAATAGTCACTACTCTGCCAAAATGGTCTGCATAAAATAGCAATGAATACTACCATAAGGTGATGTCCAATTTTCTACTTTCCATACTTTCTAACTAAAATTAATATATTATATGGGGATTTTCATTTATTTGTGCTAATTTAGGGGAGACAGAAAATCTCGCTCCTCTGAATCTAACACCAATCTCATCCACTCCTTAAGATTCCAATTCCTTAGTCTCTCCAAATTTCTCTCAGTTGTTTGTGTGGGGAGTGGGGGAGGGGGGTGGGTGTGGGTGTGTGTGGGTGTATATAAAACCACTTATATAACACATTCCCTCCTAGTTCAACACAAATATAACTTTTCCTTCTTTTAAATCACATCTCATTCACCTCTGCCTGTATGTCTTTTCCACAATTTTTTTGGTCAAATCTTGTAATCAAAGTCATAGCTGATGCAGCAGTGGCTCCAAGTGGCTGATAAGGCTTTGTATATTTTCTTTATCACAGTTCTTACATTTTTCAGAGATGGCTAGCTCTACTAAGGGATCCTCCACAAGCTAGTGTGCTGGAAAGAATCTCTTAACATTAGCTTGCTTTGCTGACCTTTGATTTTGGACTTCCATACTTACCTTGAACTCCATTAAAAGAAAAAAAATTCAGTATCACATAGAATTGGAAATACACCAGAGTTAACCTAATATACTTTCAGAGTGACATCCAAGTTACCTCCTAATAAGCTGCTGAGCTTGTTTCAAACTTCAAACCCTGGGGCAGCTAGGTGGCACAATGCATAGAGCACCAGCCCTGAAGTCAGGAGGACCTGAGTTCAAATGCGGCCTCAGACCAAACACTTGACACCTACTAGCTCTGTGACCCTGGGAAAGTCACTTAACCCCAACCGCCTAAAAAAAAATTTCAAACCCTTAACAGAGTCACTGGAGCTGGAAAAGACCTTATAGATTAATGGATCTAACCCCTTCTATGACAGATGAAGAAAGTGAGCCACAGAAAAGTTGAACGACTTAAATGACAAGGTCACTTGGCTAGTTAGTGCCTGAGGCAGAATATGAATCCAGGTCTTCCTGAGTCCCAGTCTAGCATTCAAGGCCCTACTTCACATTTCCTTCTGTTCTGAACCTGTTATCATAGGTTTCAACCTACATTATCTGCACCACCGAGCCACAGATTCAGTAGATAATAGCACCAACAATGCTACTCCCATTACCCAAGCCTTTATTCGTCTCTACTGAATTTACCTGCCCAATGCAGAGTGACACATTTCAGTTTCATCCTATCCCAGATCCTAGGATGGCCTCACTCTGACCCTAATCCAAGACTCCCAGTAAGAACTTCAAGCTCTTAGAAGTGTCTTATCCAGTCCTGTTCTATCTAGTCAGTCAAAACCTGAGTCTAAGACCTATAATTCTTGCCACATCTCTCCATATACAGACCCAACAATTGACATTAACCACCTACTCTCCCGTACCCATAGGAGAAGTGTGCATGCTTATCCAGGTAGTCTGACCAATCCTCACCTTAGGTACCTCCCAAATTGATAGGATTTAAAACTAGAAGGAACATTACAGCAATCTAGAGCTAATCAAGTCCAACCCCACAATTTTATAGATAAGGAAACTAAGCCTCTGCAAAGCAGAGTGACATGACCAAGGCTATATAAGTAAGTAGTAAAAGAGCCAGAATTGAATCAAGAATTCCCGCAACTCCATAATCAGGTCTTTTTCCAATATGTCATGCTATTCTCCATTCTCTTAATATTCTCTGAAATCTTTAATACTCAGTCATTTTGGGGCTAAGACCTTTTGTTGAACCAGACACTTTTTCCAAATTCTTATCTAGCCCCTATCAGTCTATCTCAAAAATATGAAGATTAATTGTTATAAGATCACCAATCTCCTTGAAGTTAAAAAAAAAAGCAGATTTCAATACACAATCAAAGAGGATATCATTATCTTGCTAAATCATGAAATGACATGGATTCGTAGAATTTTAGCACCAGAATGGAAATTAGAAATCATCCAGCCCAATCTCTTCATTTTCTAGATGAAGAAACTGAGGCTCAGAGAGGAAAAGGTGACTTGCCCTAAATAACAAAGCTGCAAGGTAAAAGAGCCAGGACAAGATTCCATGTCTCCTAACTCTTAATGCAATGTTCTTTCTATTTTGCCAGTTTCTCTTACAGCTAGGAAGTTTTTCTCAAGAAAAAAGAAATGTATATATTAGGCAATCAAAAGTCACTGTTCATCTATACTTAACAGCAGGTAAAAAGAATTTCAATTCCAAAAAGAAAAAAAAAATTCAAGTCAAATAATTACTGGTTTCATCATACATACAAACGGGGCAGCCAAGTGGCGCAGTGGATACAGCACCGGCCCTGAAGTCAAGGGGACCTGAGTTCAAAGCCGCCCTCAGACCAAACACTTGCCACGTACTAGCTGTGTGACCTTGGGCAAGTCACTTAACCCCAACTGCCTCACTTAAAAAAAAAAAAACACCATCATACATACAAACAAGGGACAACTGGAAATTACCTTAAAAGGCCCATATCCTTTTGCACTAAGCTAAAAAAAAAGAACATTGATTTGTAAGATATGACCAAGGTCTGGAATGTAAAAGAAAAGGTCTGGTAACATCACTATTCTTTAACGTAAGGAAGATAGCTACCTGTTCCTGGGGAAGCTGGCATAACTCCAACCAAGGGGCTCTGCATTACTGAAATGTTGGGCTGCATTAAAAGAAAAGACATAAGTTAAGGGACAAGGGTTTTTTTCATTATCTAAAACAAGTTCTGAATACTTCACTTCAGAAAGGTAGTATTTATTATTACAAGCCTAAAGACAATTCAGAATATTCACAACTAGTATATTACAAGTATTTTCCTCCAGGAGAGAATCAGGAGGCACAGTAAATAGCAAGCATTGAACATCATAAACATTAAATTGACTAGACTAAAAAGAGAAGCCTGGTTACCAATGTGAGAGCCCTTTCAGTCACTGGTCTGTCTGAAGTCAGCTAACTAGAGCAAACATCAAAAATTATCATCAAATTAAATAAGACAACATTGTAAACAACTACAGTAGTTTTAACCTCACCTCTTCAAGTAAGAAGATAGTGAAAAATAAGAAATGGAAAAAATCAATCTTAATTATCACTATTTCCTATAAAAGTTTAACGAATATAAAGGTGACCACGGTAACGAAGCCAGAAGAACCAAGAAATTGCCTTAGCCAGCAAACACTTTGTTTTGATAAGCAAAAGGTAATATGGGCTTAGATGACAAATTCATTTGTAAAATACGCCAAAGGAAGATGGCAGAAGGCTATAAGCATTATAACCTCTTAATTAAAAATAAGCATTGCCCCAGAAAGCTTGGCTCATCTGGCCCATATCATCCCAAGGGTATTCAGATATCAAACTGGCAGGAGGAAAACAAATAAAAGAGAAATACAACAAATTTGTCAGCATTTCTATAACTACTCTCATCAATGACACGATAGTGGATAACCAGCACATTCAATTCTTAGCACCTAAGTCTTTGAAGTGTGAAGAAGTCAAACTGGCACAAGGACTGGTGAGTACATACCAAGGAAATATATGCTGAAGATTACACAAATTTGAAAATACTTGAGTTCTCTCAAAGGATGCAAAGAATGAAAAAAATTAAAGACAACACTGCCAAAAATGGCAATTAAGATATCACTAACTACTAGGCCATATGTCTATTTTTTTAATCTTTACAAAATCTTTATGAAAATGATTTTCTCTTAGTAGCCTGGTAACTGAAGTGCTCACAAAATAACAAATTCATTAAAATGGCTCTGTGGCACAACTAAATAATGAATCGATCCCAGATAGATATATGCCAGAAGAATAGCAACATTCATTCATTCATTCATTCATTCATTCATTCATCCACTCAACAAGCAAAAAATGAAAAGTCCCTACTCTCTACTAAACACTGTATTGGAGGGAGACGAATATAAAATAATTTTGCAAGTATCCTGAATTCAGCACTCCATCTACTACTGAATAGAAGACTCAAAGATTCATAGAAATAGAGACAAAAAGATATTAGTAGAACTTTTCTGAATTTCTTTCCTTCCCTTGGAAGAGTCAGTTTCCATCTGATTGACTAAGTCCCAAGTACTATAACTGTTAGTTGGTTAATACAAAGATACGATGAACTGCTAATACTGAAACTAAATTTTATTTAGCAAAGAATCTAGGCCCAGAAAAATTCTGCAAAGTCAATCTGTAATTCACAGACTAAAATTTGGCAGAACACAATCTCCATAAACGCAACTCAACTCAGGAAATTAGGCTACTAGTCCTGGAAGAAGATACCCAAGTACTTTATGCTCTCTCCTATATAGCTATCTAACTTGTCTATGTAGAAATGAAACAAATGTTTGGGAGGTCAAAATGAAAAAAGAGAATGTCTGAAATAAAGAACAATTAGACAGATAGGTAGGTAGATAGAGATACACACAAACAATGGGAGAGTAAAAAGTAACAATGAGATGTGTATTCTACACATAAATGTTTTTAAAATAAATATTAATGAACTGTGTTAACACATTATCCATAACAACTGAAGAGTATATTGCTTCTAAATTTTTCATTAATTTTTACACGATAGTTTGGTGCCCTCATACATTTTTTCTTACTTCTCATTTGATTTTTTTGTGTCCATGTGTAAATAATACAAGATTTATGCTCTAACAGATCAAACATCTTGAATCACAGGTATCCCTAAATCCTAAACTGTTACCATCATGATCAGAATGATTTATGAGGACTCCTACTGTCAAAGACTTGGGCAAAGCAATAAGCCTTAACTCCAGGCCCACAGCTTCAAATGTCCCTTAACAGCAAAAAATACTAAGAATTCGATATACAATAGCTTCTCCTTGGCTCCTTTGAATTTTTCTATGAAAAGATAACCAAAGTGGTTTCTCCCTCCTTCAACTGCTTAAGGTTTCATCCATTAAAGTTGCTAGAAGGAAACTGTTTCTTGATCAAAAAGATCCCAGCGGAATTCTTTACAGAATGCTCCCAAGAAACTGTACCGTCCATTTCTGTATTTGAATAATATCTTTGGGTTTCCCTTTAGGCATTAGAGACAAAACTGGAACATAACTGAAATAGGCTAAGTGAAAGAAGCACAGAATTTAAAAATTGGAAGGGATTTCGGAGACCACCTTATAAGAGCCATTCCCCAATAGATAACTGGCCAAAGGATATGAATAGGTAATATTCTGAGGAAGAAATATGAGTTATCAACAACCAAATGACAAGATGCTCAATATCACTATTAATTAGAGAAATGCAATTAAATTAATTCCAAGGTTCCCTCTCACACTCAGTAGAATGGCAATGATGACAATAAAAGAAAAATGACAATTGTTGGAGAGAATGTAGAAGAACAGACACATTAATTCTATGCTATTAATGGAGCAATGAATTGGTCCAGCCATTCTAGAAACCAATTTAGAAGAAACTCACTAAACTAAACTAAATTTTCACTAAGCTATGTAAAATCTTATTGCCTAACAATACTACTAGACCTATACTCCAAAGAGATCACAGAAAGGGAAAAAGGGCTCATATATACAAAATTGTTCATAGTAACTCTTTTTGTTGTCACAAAGAACTGGAAATTAATAAGGTAACCATAAACTGGAGAACAGCTAAACTATGGTATATGAACATAATGGGATGCTACTATTACATAAGAAATTATGGAAGGAATGGTTTCATAGAAACCTAGGAAGACTTGTATGAACTGATGCAGTGTGAAATAAGCAGACGAAAGAAAACAATTTATGTAACAGCATTGGAAAGATAAACAACTGTAAATGACTTAATCAATCAATAACACTTATTAAGTACTTATTATGCCAGGCATTCCACTAAGCTTAAGAACTCTGACCAATGCAAATATCAACCACGATTCCAAGGGACTGATAATGATCCTTATACCCACTTTCTGACAGAGAGGTGATAGACTAAAGATTCAGAATAAGAGATATTTTTGGACAAGGAAAACATGGGAATTTATTTTGCTTAACTATGTATGTTTGTTATAAGGGTTTTGTTTTTTCTTCCTCCCCTACCTTAAGGGGACGGGGGAAGAAGGGAGAGAAAATGAATATTTACTAACTGAAAAACAAATTAACATCACCCAAAGAGCATTTAAGATTTACAAAGTGTTGCCAAAATAATCCTACATATTGACTGCTGTTTTATTTTCCTACTTTAAAGATGAAGAAACTGAAGCTGATAGAGGTTAAATGACCAGCATCACACAAAGGAAATTTTCTCCTGAGTCAAAGTTCAGCATTCTTTACAGTATACCATGCAGGAAGTCTCCAAGTACTTCATACTTCTTCTAATCACAGAATATTCTGTATTGTAGTTTGTTTGTTTTTTTAAAGGCAATTGGGATTAAGTGACTTGCCCAGGGTCACACAGCTAGTAAGTGTCAAGTGTTTGATCTGAGGCTGGATTTGAACTCAGGCTCTCCTGACTTCAGGGCCAGTGCTCTATCCACTGCGCCACCTAGCTGCCCCTCATATTGTAGTTTTTGCGGTAGCATAATACAATGACATCAGCACTGACTCTGGACTCCAAAGTTCTAGGTTCAAATCCTACCTTTGATGTTTTCTGTTGTGTAACTTTGGGCAAATCATGACTTACCTTCCCTGGGCCTCAGTATTCTCATCTTCAAAATGGAGGATTTTGACTTGAAGGCCTCAGTGCTCCCTTCCAATTTTAGATCTAGGATCCAATGATGTATACAGCTATCACCTCCAGTTGTGTAGTTGTTAAGTTACTATGTATATGTTAGGCCCTATGCTAATCACTGGGCATATAAAGAAAAGCAAAAATAGTCCCTGCCCTCAAGAAGCTTACAATCTAATAGGGAGAGACAACATACAAACTATGGACAAACAAAATTAATATAGGAAAAATTAGAGATAATTTCAGAGAAAAGGCACTAGCATTAAGGAGGACCAGGAAAGGCTTTCTGCAAAAGTAGAACTTCAGGGAAGCTAGGAAAGAGAGATAAGGAAAACATAACAGGTATGGGACACAGTCAGTGAAAATACTCAGTTAGGAAGATAGAATGTCCTGTATTTTTTGAGGAATAAGACGGCCACTATAGTAGAGGAGAGTGAGCAGAGGGAAGTATAGAAAGACAAGAAAGACAGGAAGGGGCCAGGTTATGAAGGATTTTAAAAGCCAAACAGAGAATCATATATTTATCAGTATAAAGGAGCCACTGGAATTGAATAGGGTGGTAACATGGTCAGATTTATGCTTTAGGAAGATGTGAGTAGAGGATAGACTGGAGTGGGGAGAGACTTGAGGCAAGGAGACCAACCAGCAGACTACTATAACAATCCAAGTGTGGAGTGATGAGGGTTGACATCAGGGTGGTGGCAAGTATGAGAAGAGAAAAGGGGATAAATATGAAATGTTGTAAAGACACAATCAACAAGACTTGACAACTGACTGGATATAGGGGGTGGAAAGTTAAGAAGAAATGAGGTTATTAGCCTGAGTAACTAGGCCCACAACAGTAACAGGGAAGTTAGGAAGAAGGAAGGTTTTGTAGAGGAAAGACAATGAGTTCAGTTTTGGACATCTTGAGTTACAATGTCTACAGGGGCATCCCATTCTAGATAATCCAAGAGGCAGCAGGAGATGCAAGACTGGAGGTCAGGTGAAAGCTTAGAGCTAGACAAGTAGATCTGAGAATTTTCTTTACAGAAATGATAATTAAATCCATGGGAGTAAATGTAAATACCTTGAGAGAAGGGACCATTTGTATTCTTCTTTGTATTTTCTCCAGGACCTGAACACAATGCTTTCCATACAGTAGGTACCGAATTATGACTGTTAAATTAGTAACAATTTAAGTGGTATAGCACACAACAGTACCCTATTTCTATACTGGGTAGATTATCATTAGAAAAAAAAAAGAAACTCCATTTGTATTTATTGAGTGCCTAAAAGGTCTAGCACTGCTCCATTTAAGCAAAATAAAAAAAGAAAAGTTATTTTAAAAGCTTTCCAATATTCATAGACAAATACATATGCCTTTCAAATAACTCTTGATTTTATTAAGAATTTTTTAGCTATGTATTCACGTTTCAGAACCATTACAATCAATCCTTAACATGATTAACCCAATGTTAATACTACCCACCTGTCTTCTTGAAGATAAAGGTGTTGATCCAAGTCCTGGGCTGGAAATTTCATCATAGATACTTCTAACTGGTGGAGCACCACTTTTATCTTTATGAGACGGTACAACTGGTTGAGGTGGAGATCCACCTACAATAAATTTAAGAAAGGGAAGATAAGACAGGAGTTGTCAAGTACACATATCCCTTCCACATCATAACTTTCCCCATTGCAGTTTCAATATATCATGGGTTATCATAAAAAATTACTGTAAATGGGAATTTGGGGGGAGGTATAAGCAGTATTTTTACTAAACATTGACCTACATATAGCCTATGACCAAATATGTAACCAAATTCTACAATAAAGTACTATAAACACCCCATAAAAGAAAAAGAAAAAATTCTTACTTCATCTCTCACACAAAAAGAGGCCAAAAAATTTTATGCAGATTTTCCAGAGGGCCGGGGTGCCACATCCCTAACCCGTAGGATGTGGAAGGGATAACTATATTATACTCACTATCATCAATTACTTCAAAAAAAAAAACAACCAGATTTTTTTTTATGCCCACTAGTACAAAGTACAAATGTATATATCCACAAATTAAAACTGCACCAGGACTATAAAGGAAATGTATCGGCTCACAAATATAAGACAATTTTTTTGCAAATATTAAATTTCACTACCCCATAGAAAACAAAGAAGTTATTTTCTTTAAAGGATTTGCTTATGTCATGCTACATTTAAATGTAAAGTGCTATGCCTAAAACTGTAAACTCTCCATAAATGTCTTTCCCATAAGTCTGCAGAATAGGTCATTTCACCAACACCCTACATGTAAGAAGATTAACTCACTGGTTAGAAATAAAATACACATCAGCAGATGTTCAAATTATACTTATTTTGGCTTGATATTTCTATTCTCAGATATTAAACCAAGACATTTAAACTGACATTCAATTGATGTTAAATATATGCACATTTTAATGAGTAGTTTGCTCAATTACAGTAGTTTGCATTTGCCATAACTCAACATTCAATTTTATCTGCACTAGTAAATCTCAGAATTTACAATTAAAACTACACTTTTTTTAAAAAGTAATAAATGTTTAGAATGGGAAAGGAGAAACTCAACCATAATATGTTTGTAAAGAAGTAGTGTAGCACAATGCAGCATGGCATAATGCCTCAAAGCCAGGCAGGGGTCAAGTCCCATCTCTGATACATTCATACTAGGTTTGTGACCCTGACTCTAACCTGTCAACAAGTACTAAGCTGCACCTGTTAAGGGAAGTTACTCACTTAGCACACCCTATCCACAATTCTAGTACCCTCCAAACAAGATATGGTGGAGAAAAACACTGGTTTAGATGCCAGATTTCCCCAAAACTGGAATCAGCTTTGCTCTGCACTAGCTGTGCAAATGTAAGCAAACCACTACACCTCTACGAATCTTTGCAACTTTATCAGTTGAACTGGGGGGTTAGATTAGACAATGTCTTTAACATTATTAAAATGTTCCTTATTAATAAAATTTTTTAAACTGTGACAAGCACGTCATATTTATTCTTTAAATTGTCTTAAATAATTACCAACCTGCAAGTAAAGGTGATCTCATTTCCATAACCCCTACAGAAGGGCCACTGAAAGATCGAGGTTGTGGAGTCACTGGAGCTGGCAAATCTCCCATTAAAAAGCCAGGTAAGAACTGTGCATTTGCTCCTGGCTTTGGAGAAGTAGGTGAACCCAGCATCATTGGTTCAGCTCCTAAATTGTTACATAAAAACAAAATTAACAAAATATAACCATCCCCACAAATAACCTAATGAATTTTTTGAGATTTTAACCAAAGTTTTGAATAAATGTTTATTTTTTAAATTATATAAAATATTACCTTAGTAAGCTCTATTCATAAAACATGTACAACTGAACTACAGATAACTTTAAAGTCTGTGAATACCCTGAATTTAAGGAAACAAGGTTCCCTTACTAAATAAAAATAGTATTTAAATATCTAATAGAACTAAAATGTAAAAATGACTTTGTTTCTGCTGCAAGGGGCAGCATTCCACATATTACAACAATCCTAACAGTAATGATGTAATAATTGACATTTATGTACAAACTGCTAGCAAATCTGACAATTCTTCTAAATAGTTAAGTCCTACCATTTCCCCCACACACATAAAATACTAGCTTACATGTGCATAGTGATTATGTTTCATCAATATTATGTCATGACAAGATAAACACAAAACATATTAAAAACAATTGTCAATTCTTTGCCAATATTCTAATAGTGCACATGTTCAACTGCAACTACATTCTTCCTTAAAAGAGTATAAAATAGCATAATACTGGCAAAACTATAGAAAAGGTCAAAAAGTTTGAAAACAATGAAATCAATTTTTGTAACATTCTAGACTAACAAAAGACAACCTCTCCTTCCTCTTCCCCCTCATTCACTACTGGTATTTAAATGTTTGTTGAATGAATAATATTTAGTAAAAAGAGTTAAGTGACATCTCACTATTGGCCAAAATATTGTACTTTAGATAGGAAATTTTTCTAATTAAAGAATCACATCAGTAATATACACTAAGAAGAGTAGTGGTAGGTACCTGAAGAGAGAACTAAGTTTTGCACCAATGAAAAAAAGGTTTTGTATTTCCTAAAAATGTTAAGAACAATGTATACATGTATGAATTATTGTTTAAAAGGTACCATCTACACATAAGACATTCCCATCTATACACTGAACATATATATGCACATATGTATACTCATACACACATATAGATAGATATTTGGCATGACTTTCAAGAATTATAGAGGCCAGTTCATATTAAAACTATTCTTGCTGTCCCAGATTCCTACTCCAACTCTTCATCGTGGCATGGAGATAATGCTAATACATACACACATGCATACACACATGTGCATCTATATAGCTAACAAGTTTTCAAAAGCAATTATATAGATAGATGGATAGAAAAAGCATATATTAAACACTTAAATGTGCAAGGTACTGTGCTAAGCTCTGGGGACACAAATACAAGCAACCAAGACAGTTTCTGCCTTCAAGGAATTTACATTCTAATTAAGAAAAACCACAATATCATATGACTTGCCTTCTCAATAAGTGAGGGAGGGGCCAGAGAGAGAGAATTTGGAACTTAAAGTGTTTTTTTTTAATGAATGTTAAAAATAAATATAGGATTAGAAAAAACAAATTCATGATATTTGATGAATTGGGGGAAATAAAGGAAGACCACATACTGGTAGGGTTGAGGGGAGAACAGGCAAGCGAAGGGGTTATGCATTAAACAACATGAAGGGAGCTGGTGACCGGAAAGTGAGATGGAGACCTGATTGCTGGGAAGATGAGGCTAAAGTTCACCTATAGCAGCTTCTACCATGTTGAAAAGATGTCAATGTATGTGCCAAAAACACATAGTGTCTGCTTTCCAAGGACTAGCCTAGCTAAGGATAGAGAGGTTCACCACTAGAAAGCTAGCCAACCTAGTTATGAATTCTTTGCCAAGTACACATTCATTCATGGAATGAAAAAGAAAAAATGGCCCTCAGTTCTATGTGGCACCCTTCTGCTTCAATAACCATAGTGGCACTTGTAGAAAAGGGAAGCAAAGGATACTGAGAATCACAGTTTTTAGACAATCTATAAACTCTAACTTAGTATCATTCAACTGGCTCACTATCTTCCTTTCCACCTCAACTACTCCATTTATGCTAGATTTTAAGAGGAATGCTGATGTTCCCACAAACACACTAAACTAGTTCCTCAAACACCTTAACCTCCCAGTTCCTCAATCTCCTCAAAACCCAACTACTCCTCCACTCTACATCAGCCACAGACAAGGACGGTCACACCCTGGATCTTTATCATTACCACGTTTAACTTCTTGATCAAAAACTCACGTACCTATCTGACTGTAACATCCTACCAATTATGTCTCTCCCTATGTTTCACTTCCCCTTCCTCTCCCCCTCCCACCTTCAACTCCAACCTATTCTTCACTCTCATCACTCCAATCCCTCCAAGCCTCAGACTCTTTATCTATGCTTGGACTTCACTTTTCTCCTTTTCCCAATGCTGATATCTATAGCCAACAAGTTCAATATCACACTACTTTCAAGCCCCTTTTCCCCTTGTTCTATCTCCAGTCCTTAAGCCCCTATCCTCAATTACTCCCCACCATCCTCACATTCATAAAACAAGAAGCAATGAAAGGAAAACATAATTTAAAGAAAATTTCACTGACACAACTAAGCGAAGTCATCCCATGTGTGTTTAAAGACTAAGCTATAAAGACAAGAGACAAAAGGGTGAAAAAAGTACAAAAAAAAATTGTAATAAATTCTTTCCACCATCCCTGATTAAAACACTCCATTTCTCAACTCAGAACATTGTTTTTTTTGGCTTTCCCCCATACTTAGATAGCTTCATTTCCACCTCCGGACTTCCCTGGTTTCCTCCAAGTACCAGTTAAAATCCCACCATCTACAGGAAGTCTTTTCCAATCCATCTTAGTTCTAATGCCTTCCCTCCGTTGATTACACTTCCCATTTATCCTGTACTAGTTTGGTGGTGCGTATTTTTTACATGTTATCTCCCCCATTAGATTGGGAGCTCCTCAATGAGAGAAAAACAACTGTCTTTTGCCTTTCTTTGTAGCCCAACACTTAGCCCAGTGACTGATTGCCCATCAAGTACAGTCAAGCAACTTCTCAGTCCAAGACATGCTTATTACGTAAACAGAAATGGCATAAAAGAAAACAAAGACAAGGACAGCTAGGTGGCGCAGTGGACAGAGCTTCAGCCTTGGAGTCAGGAGGACCTGAGTTCAAATCTGACCTCAAATACTTGACACTTATTAGCTGTGTGACCCTGGGCAAGTCACTTAACCTCAGCTGCCTAACCAAAAAGCAAAAAAATAAAAAATAAAATCATGGGAAAAAAAAGAAAAGAAAAAGACAGAAAAAGCAGCTGGACTGTTACAAGTGTATACAAGGAGGTCTGTGCTACAGGTGACAATTTTGAGTATGAGGATGAGATTTTCAAGGAATTTGAAGGACAAAAAAACCAAATGTATAAGTTAAAAAATAAAAATGAAAACTCAGACCTTATTATTACCAAAAAGGAAAAGTGACTGAGAGATCAAGAATTACTGAGCCACATGCCTATTTTATCCATCTCTATAAAATGTTAATAAGCCTAATCTATACTCTATAAAGATCTCCATGACATCCTTGATAACGTTATTAGGAGGGATCAGACACACTTTTAAAAATAATATTCCACAGCAGACAATATCTTCAACTTCACCGACATGACCAAAAGAGTTAAAGAAACCAAGACTCAAAGAATACAAGATCCCAATTGTGCTGTTTGTTGACCATAAAAATGAATTGGATTTGGTAGTACAAAATGCCACATTAGCAGTTGTCCAACAGACAAGATTCTTCTGAGATAATTCTGCTCAATGACTTAATTACTAATTTTAAATAAAGCATAAAACAGAATATGTATGCTTAAAAAAGATATTCACCAGTCACACAAGAGTGCCACATCGCAGCCGCTGTGAAATGCTTGTTAAATTGAATTGGAAGGCAACATGATGTAGTAAAAGTGCACTGGCTTAGTAGTCAAAAGGAGCATGCTCCACCTGCATCTTTGTGATGTCAAGAGAACTAAAGGAAAGTGCCCAGCTCATTGGGTGGTCTCTGGAGAGCTTAGGGGAGGACATCAACAAGAGTAACATAGGGGAAAAAAATTTTTAATAAAAAAAAAAAGTAACATGGGATGGGCAAGTATGTATGGACTATGTGCACCACTGGAGAGAAAACCCAAACTGATGAAATCACAGATGCATTTGCATATTACTGCTAACCCAAATACTAGAGTTTCATTTTCTCTTCCATGTCTTTCATAATAACTGAGATAAGTAGCACATTTTAAATGTTATAGAGCTCTTAACATATATTATCTCATTCAAGTTTGACAACCCTAAAGCAGGCACTAAACGACACTATTACATTTCACTTCCCATTAGATATTACCCAAACGCTTACAATAGAAGTATACAGCTGCCAAAGAGCAAACCAACCAAAGAAGATACTGATCTATTAGTAATGTTGAGGTTTTTTAAGTCTTAGTTACTCTCTCCATGTCGCCAAATGACTTCTACTCCAACCTTACCAAAATTATTGAAGAAGCAACATTGAATACAAAATTTTAAAAAAGGCAGGTTTTTTTCGTTTGTTCAAGGACATTAAAAATCTCTCCCTTAAGTGTTCTTTAAGACATGATGTTTCAACTTTAGCAAAGTTGCAGGATATAAAATAAACCCACATAAATCATTGGTATTTCTATATATTACTAACAAAGCCGAAGAGCAAGATATAGAAAGAGAAATTCCATTTAAAGTTACTGTAGACATCATAAAATATTTGAGAGTCTACCTGCCAAAACAAGCCCAAGACCTATATAAACACAATTACAAAACACTTTTCATACAAATAAAGTCAGATCTAAATAATTGGAAGAACATCAGCTGCTCATGGGTAGGCTGGGCTAATATAATAAAAATGACAATTCTACCTAAATTAATTTACTTATTCAGAGCCATACCAAACTACTAAAAAAATATATTTTATAGAGCTAGAAACAATAGTAACAAAAGGTCCAGAATATCAAGGAATTAATGAAAAGAAATGCAGGGGAAGGTGGCCTAGCCATACCAGAT